TATTTCTCTCCATTCAATATGTTCAAACACTGAAGGAACATGTCCGCAAGTAGATCTACAGAACTTTTGGTGCCACTGGTTTACTTAGATGGAAACACGATGAGGTGCACGCCTACATTCTGTGGGTGTGCAGCCATCTTGAATACTACACTTCCTCAGCAAGCTCTGACTGTCTGAGTCGTATTGTTGTTGCTTTTCTGCCTGAGAACTCAGAAAATCTGACTTTGAAGTACAAAGATAATGCAGCAGCACACGTAATGCAATTAGAATATCTTGTGGTTTGGTTTAGGTCTAATCTGGTTTAAAAAGGTATTACAAAAGGAATACTTTAATGTCTTAAATAATATCTCCTCTATATCTTCTACTTACTTTGAAAGACTTTCTTGAAGGTATACCACAGAACCAGACATTTTTTACTCCTTTTAAATGGTTATGTGTTCTCTGAGCCTGACAATATGTTATGCAAAGACTGACTTAGCAAAGAGTCAGCAAACACTGACTTTTTGCTAAGCCTGCAGTTGAACGGAGCATTTTAAATAACAGATTTACTTCTATCTAATCAAAAGAAATAATAACACCAGGTTTAAACACAATATCAAAGGGAAGAAAACAAAAAAACAACAAAGAAAAACGTCTCAAAGTCAACCTCAAGGACCACATCCTCCCATGTGATCTGTCTGGTGTGGCAAGATTAAAGCTTAATCACAACACTTTAGGAACGCATGCAAGTCGATCTGAACTTATTATCTTCATGTTTCAAAGCACGAAGACTTTCAGGAAACCACATGTACAACGGAGAATGGCTTAGACACAGTTTGTATTCTATTATTTCTTTGTGCTAAATTTTATTCAGGAAAAACCATTAACGAACAAAAGACATGAAATGAAAAATGAAACATAATTAGTCTTTGATAAAAGCCTTGTTTATTCCAATGTTTTAAGCCAAACCAGCTGGGTGAAATAGTGTTGTCGATAAGAAGGATGTGCCACACCAATAGTAAATAGACGTAAATAAACTTATAGAACACTTTTCTTGACGTACAGACCATCCAAAGTGATTTTTCCACACAAATATTCACACCAAAATGCAGATTAGCAGATCACTTCAGGTACAGTGTCTTGCACTTCAGTGGTAAAAATCTGGAACCAAACTCACAACCTTTCAACTGCCAGGCAACTACTGTGGCCTCAACTCCACAGCCGTCACCTCAGCCTGCAGACGTCAGTCATGCGCTACTCTTAAGTTTAGCTCCCACAGGATAACATAACATGTCCTGTTTACAGCTGGAGGAAATCTGTTTCACTAATAAGAGAATAAGAAGCAGATTCAGTCAATTATCAAAAACCTTTATATGGATTTTTTTCAGAACTCAACAGTAATCTTTTCCAGATAGTTTTTGGGGTTTGATCAATCCCATAGTAATGGAAGTTTGCAAATATCATACTGTAGAATATTTTTACCTCACTATATGTCAGAATTTCTATAATGGAAAATAATGGATGGAACTCCTTGGATGTGATAATTGGCAGGTTATTAGATTTCAAGAATTATACATTAGTCCTTGGTGTGCCAATACCGCACATGGTCAGTTGTATGGATTAACTTCACTGCCACTAATCCTCACTCCTGATGTAGCAATAGATTGTTTGGAAATGAATGGAAAGGAGTGCAGACATTATGATAAGATGAGTTAGGAACACAAGGGTTTTACCTTAACTAATAATACCAATATTTAATCATAACTTTTCATTACATCTCTTCCTAATATCATCTAAGCTTCATACAACTTCTCTTGAAACAACTTTAACAGCTAATTTTTTAAAAAATAACATCAGAAAGTTTAGGTTAAAAAAAAACTATGCACACCACTAAACACAATGATTTAATTGCACTCGTATCCCTGGGAAGCTTTGCATGCGAGTCAGAGCAAATCAACCGTAGGAAAAGAAAGCGGAACATATGCACAAACTGTAGAGTATGAAGTTACCTGGAAAAGTCCCATAAAAACCTGGACCAATTCATCACCTGTGAAAACAGTACCAACACAGACGCGCACACACACAAATCCCTACTCATGATCTGCAGAGTTACTCATTAAAGAAGTACATGTGTGTAACTTCTAGTCTTACAGTAAGGAGAAAATGAGGAGACAGCCACCAACTTTTCACTGATGGATCTATAAACGTATCTTTATTGAGCAATAAAGAATAGGGGAAATCTATAAAACATGACACTTTGAGAGCTTGCAAGTAAGAAGCTGCCGTTTAAACTGACTCACTGTCTTCCACCAAAATAAACACAACATGAAACCACAAGACCAGCAGATTAGCAGGAAGCAATATGAGACTAGAGAGCATGTTCTGAATTGGTGCCAGCGATCAGATAAGGCAGATAGCTGGAAAACGATAAAGGAGGGATTTTTATAAAGACTTAAATATGTTTTTTGTTTCTTACGTTTTCTGCACTCTGGGCTTCATCTTGGTGAATAAAGTTTGTATTGACGCCCATAAAAAGCAGGCACCACTGAACACATGCAGGCCCCCGCATGGATATGAAAATACAGCCTGGGGGATTTTACTAATAACAAACACAATGAAGCACCTCTGTGTCTGGAAAAAGGAGGCTATTTTGCAGCAACCAAAACAACTGGGTCATATTAGCACAGACCCGGCTTTCCAAGCCTGCCTGATGCTATTACCAAAGTCATGAGGATCTGCTGGTTATTGAATTGAAAAACCATTCCCTAGTCTCGCTTTCTCCTTCCAAAATATTCCATCTCCATCCAGATGGCTTGGGGTTTCAATCATGTCAGTGCTTGGCAATATGTGTTTGTTTGGCTTTCTCACTGTAAGGCAGTCCCAGGAAAAAATTTTGTAGTTTCCAGGCCCTTCTCTAGTGAGAGGGGTAGGGTTACATACAGACTGGAACCAACGACTCTTAATAAAATATAAATCATTTAAATAAATGCTGTAGGGACCAGTTAGAAATATGGTAGGGTAATCATATCTTTTGGAAACAATGTAGGAATTCTCAACAGCTAACCTAAAATGATAAATTTTCAGCAGATAACAGAAAACCAAGATGCCGAGTGACATAAGAATTCATACGTCTATTAACATTTTCATATTTAATCACATCATGTCCACAAACTCCATCCAGTACATGTCTTTGTGGTTTTATGTGATAGATAAAAACAGGTGGCATTACAAGGAGAAAGCAGTTGTTCAAAGGTAGCAACAAGAACTCCTACTTTCAGGTTTCCAGAAGCTATGCATGTGAAACACAGAAAACATGTAGGAAAATGTGTCCTGGTCAGATGAAACCAAAACTAAACTTTGTGGCCTACATGCCACAACATTTTATGCGGCAGACAAGTAGCACAACACAATTAACACCTCCACAGTGACAAATGTAAGTGGAAGCATTTGTGGCATGATGACCTGCATCATCAGCTGACCAGACTTGAAAGGAAGTTAAATGTTTCTGAATACAGAGCAGGTCCGGAAGAAAACTTGACTTGACTGCAGCAGAAGTTCACCTTCCAGCAGAATCTGACAACCTCTGCCTGTCTTTTCCTTTTATATCATGTCCATTACATGAAGTGGAAGCAGCCTGTTGCCAGGTACTGACTGGGAGTGCCTGGGTTCAATATTTCCAGCTTATTTAAACCTGGTTGTTACTGACATCCTTAGACTTAGAAAAAAAATACAAACACTGATACTTTGGTCTGTATTGCTATTTTATAGTTTTTTCCACTGTTTGTTTGATGAGAGAGTCAAAAAAATATCAATAAATTTACAAATTAAATATAAACGCATGGATGTTTCTCTACATTTTGTTGGGACGTTAGTGATTTAATCCTCCAAATGTTCTTTAGATGATGCAGTTGTCTATGTGTCTCTGGCAAGTCTAGGTCCATCAATACATCCAGATTTTGGCCCTGATCACTTTCTAGCTGTAATAACTGAAACTATGTGCAGACTCTAGATCGTTCTTCTGTAGGTTCAAAGATAATAACTTCAGTTTTGTTCCTACTCATTAGAAGAAACTTCTGCACATTCACACACTGACTTGTTCTCTGCACATTCTCTGTGCTTGAGTGGGTTCGCTGTCACCTGGTGGAATTGTAATGTAGAGCAGTGTATCATCTACATAGTTATGGTAGCTAATATTATGATATGAGTTAGTGGTAACATGTAGATATTAAATAAGGAGAGCCCCAAGATGGAACCTTGAGGTATCCCACATGTGATCCTATGTTTGCGTCAATGAAAAGTTGACAAAATCCCTGTTCTTTAGGTAACGCTTGAACCAGTCAAGTAGTGTACCAGAGGTAGATTTAAAAATTAAAATGTTCTTTAACAGCGGCATTTGAGTTTGAGTCTTTCATTGTATTGCCATGGAGATAACTAATGACCTAAAAAAAGACTTAAAAGAAGTGATAAATAGGTTTTTATCATCACTTTTATCACTTCGTCATAGCTATAACGCATAATACCATAATAAAATTTTATGTCAACACTGCTCATGTCTCACACCCTCTATCATCGATATACTGATGCTACTAGGAACCACAATCATTCATTTATGGTTTATTAGTTTTATGTCCACTTAAGTTACATTTATAAAATTCCTTAAATTAAATTTTAATTGAAGTCAAGAAATATTTTAAGAAGAACAGAATACAAAAATACACTCCCCACTTTTCAGGTTTTTATGTTAAAAACTTCAAAAATCTGAGACAAGCTAAGTATGACAGACATACTTAGTTTATGTCTATCATATAAACTCTTTTGCACAGCACTGTATGAACAAAAATTCAAACACATTTACAATATGTGTTAGTATGTTATGTCAGAGGTCACTAGTAGGACAGATGCTCCACTTCACATCCCCAGGAATTCATCTGGGGATGAAGCCTCTACTAACCTGGTTTATCTCAACAAAAGCTTAATTCTCACTAATTATATATAAAGAGGGGCATTGGTATATCACTCACTATGTTTGTTGTTGTTTTCAGGGCACGGCGTGCTTCTAACAAACTCCTGGGGATGTCCGTGTTTGGGTGTTTGGCCCCTTGGCAGGCCCGGTGAGGACAGCTTCCCAAGCCTGAGGCCACTGGAGCTCTCCATGCCTGCAATGGTAGATTATGAGGTTAAAGGCTTTCTGCTGCTCATTAATCTGTTCCCAATGTTTGTAAGAACATTATTAGCACTCCACTACATCAATAGTCTGTGAAGATGCTCTCTCCTTGTTAATGCAGAGTCTTCATACTGGTCATTGGTGCTGTTGGACTGAAGGTGAGATAAGTGGAGGCACACACATCATCTGCAGTGGTAATGAGGGTGTGACCTTCCATGTTTCATTTCAAAATCAATAATCTGACTTGCACACTAACTTCATGCTCTGCCCATTAGACAAAAGGTAAGTCAAAGAAAGGACAGAGACAAGAACTGCTGCTCTGCTTGTGGTCTATCTTATGAAAGACCAACAAAGGATCTGTGTATTAAATCACCTGGTTGACAGCAAAGTTTTCTGCTTTATAGTATTAATTATCAAAATAAACTGCTGAATCTCAACACACCTACTGTATACATAAAATGTACTGTTCCTAAAATTTTGATGAACAAGGCTGCCAATTATTAAATGAAGTGACAGCAATTAGAATCCAACATGCTTTCACTCACTTTTATAAATTACAACACCAAACAGTATGACACCCAGTAGGAACCAACCAGCTTCCATTTTCACGCCATGCTTTACAATATATACGTGTTTCTGGTCGATGTGTCCTGAAAATAATTTGCTTTCATTTTGTTTAAAGATATTCTGACATGCATCGCAAGTGCCCTGCATTAAACAAGAAGTTGAAATGCACAAAGGCACAAACAGGAACTAGAGTGCATGCAGGAACAGTAATTTGGTATGACTGAGGGGTGTTAGATCACCCAAGACCTGAAACTAACAAATGTGGGCAAAAAAAACAACAACCAGAAATGAGTAATTGTGAGACTTAATTACAAAAAACAGTAAAAAAAAAAAAACAAAAACAAAAAAAACAAAAAAAAAACAGAACAAATAATCAGAGATTAAGTTTGGAAGGTTCTTTGCAAAAAGACCTTTGTAAAACACTACATAGCTAATGTATATGTACTGGAATTAAAATGTAGCTTAGTTCAAATATTAAAATACAACATTCACATAGGAAAATACTTTGTGAATGTTTTGAGTTTGTGTGATTTTTTTTTTCCTTCTGTTTACAAATGACAAAATATTAAAATATATGCAAATAAAACATGGATCTAACAAACTTTAAATATAATTGGTATTTTTCTCACTTATGCTAACTGCCAAACAGTTTCCCCTCCACCTAACACTGTAAACCGTTTGGTAGCTTTTTCCAAAATATGTCCTCATACTGTTCCCACGGTTTAATGACCTTTTATTTAGATGTCAGAGAAAGTGGCATAGTGACTACAGAGTATAGTTAACACAGTGATGCTCCTCCACTTCCTACTGCTACGAACTGCTGGTCAACTATCTGAAAGAAGGCCACTATATTATATATTTTTTATTACAGGAAAAACATTTAGCTGTTTCGAAATAGTTGTGAAAAACCAGTCATGGCGTGAAACGTGAGTCTAATGAAGTCTAAAACTGTTTTGACACTACAGCTTGCAAGTCACAGCAATATGTCTGACATAAAGCCAACTGCCAGCTGGCTACCTGAGCAGATAGCCTGACAAAGTGATCAACAATATAATACTGGTGTATCTATAAAAACCAGAACAGCAACAAGAATAAATCTTCTGCACATGAAGAACTTATATACTACAACATTTAGCAAGTGTTTATTCTACATCTTTGCTTTGGTCTATGTAGAGTCAAAATAACATTTTTATTAGCTTAGGCCCTGAGTTAATGCACCCGTTTGCAAATTTTACACCCATGTTATTTTTTAGTGTTGCCATTTTGCACCCACCTATTTCCATTTAAAACCTGTAAACAAACAAAAATGTTATTAAGCCATTGTGTATCAGTTTGTTTTTACATGCAGTAAAGTTTTGACCTGAATTGTGAAAATAGTGATAAATTGCTCAAATCTTATAAAAAATTACATAGTTTTCTGAAATCTTTGTATTAAAACCTGTTTTAAATTTTTTGGATTCTGGTTCAATTCAAATTCAAAAAAACTTTCTTGATCCCAAAGGAAAATTAAATAACTCCGATCCATGTTCAGACAAATTGATTGCTCTAAAATGACGTGCCATGATCAAACCAAATTAACTCTAAATACCATCTAACTAGTAGACATATCATTTATTGGACCCCTAAAACTACATTTCCCCACAGTAGGGCTAGAATAATAGAAAATAACTTGAAACTTAAGAGTTGTTATCTGTAAGAACCCTTGCAAATAACATTAAAATATATACTTTTAAAATGGTTGAAAAAAACCTGTTTCTATTTTAAAATAAAACAAATTAGATATTATTGTGAAACAAGCTTTTTTTTTTCCTCTCGCATTTTTGTTTTTTAATTAGGAACAATAAAGTGCCGAATACAATAAGCAATTCCATAAAAGATTCTTTGCAACCATCCTTCAAGTTATAATGAATACAAGCCTGTGACACCTCAAACAAACCAACCTGCAAACAAGTATTTCCCACTGCACGTGGCCCAATGCCACGGTGTTTGTCAGCTTTGGTCAGGGCTCAATTTGAACATGTGAGTAAATAAAAACAATAAAAAGTGTTCCACTTTTTCCTCCTTTAGTCCGACCACACCTACCTGAACTGTGGGGTCAGTCACTCAGCAGCAGGAGCCCTGGGGGGCCCCACCGGGTCACCCACGTGACGGGAGGAGGAGGTCAGGAGACAGGCACCAAAGTGGGCGTTTTTTCCACCAATGTTATGTTACATGGCAATCACACCTGCTTGTACGTCAAGGGCCGTTCAGACAGGAGGCTGGGGGGGCCGAAGGGAAGTGGACAGCCGTCAGCCTCGTCTCCTCTGAACACGACGACAAAAAGACGAATCACAGTCCCGAGTGTCCATGAAAAGAAATCCAGTGTAGTTTCACCTCATTCCCAGTTTCCAAACGCATTCTCCTCCCGCCTCCTTTTCTGCATTAATATGTACACCACGAGGCACTTCTCCAACCTCCGTCTTCTCCTTAGACCCTCCAGAAATATTAAAAAACACCCAGGAAACACGGCCAGGTCCTCGGCTCCTGAAGGAAAAATATTAGAATACAGAATGGTTTATATAGGCAGTGAAGCAAAATGGCGACTTTATTACGAAGGAGGAGTAAAAAAAAAAAAAATCCCTGCGCTGGCTGTAGCTGAAGGGAGGCACAAAAATATGTTTAGTGCAGTAATTTCGACGGCTGTGAGACAGTCGGTTAGAGTAAAAGAAAACGAAGCGAAGGAAAAGAAGAAGAAACGTCGGGTGTTAGTCCAGTCCCCGGCTCCTTACCTCGGGATTATTTCGGCTTTTTTATACGGATTTTATCTCGGCGGCCGTGTACAGTATTACAGTAGTGTGTGTTGGGTCATGCGCGTATCCACTCCACCTTTGACAGTTGCAGCCACAGTCTTGATGCAACTTGCGAGCTCTCGCGTTGTTATTATTATCTATTTCGAAGTGAATAACAACAGTGTGGGGCTGCTCTGGCTGATAAAGTCGCTGCAATATACCCCGGCTCTCGCTGCTCTTTCGACGTAACGGCGCTGGTCCCTGACGAAAAAAAGGGTCAGGGCTTAAATTCCTCATATCAGCCCTCGTTAAGTGTTTGCATCGAGCTGCTGCTAAATATTCGACCAATCTGACCCGCAGCTTGAGTTCAGTCTGTGCAGTCTTCTCTCTTTAAAAAAAAAAAAAACAGCTGAAAACCAAGTACGCCAGAAATGGACTGAATATACCGCAAAATATTTCCTTATGTCATCATTACCAGTCTGTAATATGTTCTTATATTGCCACAGAATTCAAGGTCATCTCCTTAGATATTAAATCCCATTTAATTCAAGTAATGCCATTAATGGACCTAATGCAAAATTTAATCTGCATTAGATGCTCTGTCAGCTGGCTGCAGGGTATGTGCACATGGCTTTTCACCCATCTAAAGCGGCTAATAATAAATGTTTCACATATGGCGGGAGCCTACATTTTTCTCATAAAGACAGCTGACTTCATGAATCATTCATGGTTTCATTGCCACCTCTCTGTGTTTCAGTACAACAACAGAGGGACTCTCTTACTCTGACTGGTGCCAGTCAACATGGACTGATATTCTCCTATTAGTGGAAATAATCTGAAATCATGATGTAATTTAAATATAGAAAAAAACTATTTTAGGTATCGCCTGTGGAGGGCGGCATAGCTTAACTTTAGTGTTGCCAAGCGTATTGCTAGAATTGTCAAATATGTTTTAAAAAGCAGACGGGAAATGAAATACATTAATAATAGGTTAAAAAAAAAGAAGTGACATTATTTTTGAATTTTGTGCATAAATAAAAAAAAACATACCCTTATTATGTACACATAGTTGTATTAGAGTATCAATAATTAGAATCAACTATACAAAATATAATTTCATGCTTAATCTTATTATTATTATTATCAACATTATTATTATTATTATTCTTATAAAGTAAGTATTCGTTTTTTAATTCAATTTTCTTTTGTAATTTAATTGTACCACTTCTGCTGTTATTGCAACTGTGGTTGATATTAATGAACTAATGTTTCTTCTTCTACTACTGCTATTATTATTATTGTTATTATTATTATTATTATTATTATTATTATTATTATTATTATTATTATTATTATTATTATTATTATTCGACAAATAATTCATTTTTATGTGTCTCAACACGTTCAGTCAAGGTTTATGACCATAAATCACCCACTAGAGGGCAGTACAATTCAATCATTTCTCAGAGTAAAAAGGCAAAACAAACATCATTGTGACTTCAAAACTTGTGATTTGGATGCATATCTTACTGGTTTTCTCAATTGTTGACTGCATGGTGTTGTTTTTTTTACAACTTTGTATAGTTTTATGATGCAATGCACTTTAAACTGCCTTGTTGCTGAAATGTGCCCTACAAATAAACTTGATTGATTTGACGAACCCAAAATTTCTTGTCAGTTCAGGAAATTTTGGGATATTTTATATTTGTTCATAAGTGATGACTAGCAGAACCATCAAGTCTATGGTGATCTTGAGTTGCTAGCTGATCAAGTTAAATCTAAAATACACGCTTCCTTTTTAATCGGTTCTGATAAATACTTCACTCTGGGGCGCTGTTTGACCCGTGAATAATACTTTAAAGCATGCTACAGGTTTATGTTTTTTCTTCTTATCAGCTGAGTAAGCACAATCATGTCTTTTTTTTAATCTGGCAATAGATAATTTTTTCCCTAATAACTTTTCAAATCAAAAGCCACAAAGCGCACTGGCATCATTCTCATTACTACCTTGACAGTTTGGCTCCTCATGAAAAAAATACAGTTTTGAGCTATTTATACCACCAAGAGCCTTCAGTCAACCAGCTGTTAAAGGAGAGATGGAAGACATAGGAGTGTTTCACACTCAGTTTCTGTGCTGTCGTAGGATTGAGAACCAGCAGATCAAAGTCACAAGGAAATAGCAATGAATCAGAAAAAGCACGGGTCTCAGCATTTGGCTTATCTTCGAGAACAGTCACAAAAGCTCCCATTGTGGAAGCAGAGTTTCCAAATGGCAAATAGAAGAAAACAAAAAGAGAAAGATAATAATAACCAGATTCCAATTAACTGAAGCATCCAACCATCTGCTATGCAGATTTATTCCCCTACCAAGGTTGAGAAGGTCACTGTTCATTGAATCTGTTTATCATACATGTGCCCTGGAACTAACAGGTGAGATGCTTGATGCCTTGCAGTAATTGGATCTATTTGAGTGTGTATGTGTGTTCTGAATGCATGCGATGATGTGTCAGCGAGAGACAAAGTCAACATCTGTTTAGGCAACACTTTATTTTCACAGAGTCAAAGTTGTGACTCAGGGACCCTGAATAATGTTTCAGAACAGATGGAAGATTGAGGCATATTTTGAATTATAAAATACATCTGGCTTGGGGTCTAGTGGAGTTATTTTACAGAAAAGTTTTGTTTTTGTTTTCTTTTTTAAGAAAACGAAGCAACATGAATGGATCTGCTGAAAACAAAGAACTACTTCCAAGTTCTTTGACTCGGCTCAGCAAGTAGAAAGTTTCAACTTTAATACAATTGGGTGTTTAAACAAAGTAGTGATCCAAAACACACACAAACACACACACAAAAAATATTGTTTTGGAATTGTTAAAGTAGGGCTATATAAAAGTGGTGGAGTGAACATTAAACCAAATATTAGTGCAGGTGTGTGCATTGGGCTTGTATGTATAATTCTGACCATATATTGACTAGAAAAAAACTAGTGAAATTCAAACATATGCCTGCTTGGGAAATTCACTGAAGTTGTTGTCCACCCTGAAAAAAAAGATGGGGTCAAATGCATTATTGAAAGACCAGGATTAATCTTACATTAAGTCGCTTAAGTAGCGCATGTAAGCTTTTCACTTACGTTGCATTAAATATCACTGATGTGCATAATGTGTCTCCGGTTGCCTATGTTTGCTATTTCATAGATTGCTAAATTGAACCCCGTTTCTTGCCCACGGACCACTGGAGAAATGCAGGCCTTGGTGGTCCTTTGCTGGGCTAAATGAGGTTAGAAGATGGATGGAGTTGAGGACAACCACTGATATGAATCATGTCAGTCCTCCAAAACAAACTGTTTCTAAATGTATTGATGTGTAATGAAGACTTTGTGATTCACTGGAATGCGTTCTCTAGCTGTATTTTTGTATGAATATCAAAACCATCACAGTAATTTCATCTCTACTTGCAGATAAATATATATTTATATATTTTTAGTACACTAATTTATATAATGGGAAACACTGGAGGGGGAAATACAAATTAAAATGTTCTTATTACTAAATTATCCACTGAATATGCAAATGAGTACTTTTATACTTGTAACATTTTATAAAAACAAAAACTCATTTTAATGTAAGCAATTAACCGGGAAACAATTTTGCTTCTCACTAATTTCATTTTGTCTATTGCAAAATGAAAGAAGGAACTGCGATTATGTATCCAATTTTAAATTATGGTGCACCAACTTTTCTTTTGCTTATGTTTATGAACGAGTTTAGCTTTTGAGCAATTAAAGGACATTATTTCCCTTGATGAGAGCAATGCAAACTTTAAATATTCATCAACTGAAAAAAAAAAGAGACAAAGAGATAGCACAAACATGTTTAAAGAACAGGAAGTAAAGGACTCTGTACTATAAGAACAAAATCTTAATCACTTTTTTAAAGAAAAATTTAGTATTGAGGATTTTTTTTTTAATCCTTTCTGCCTTCTTCTATTTTTAAAATGATTTTTCTAGTATCAGTTTTGCATCACATGCGGTTGTCTTAACATCACTTTAGTAAAAACTATTAACTTAATCCTGCAAACAGAGATACACCATGTCAGTACATCAGGGCCAACAGTTTTTTTTCTCAATAAGTTTATTCAAAAACAGCCGTCGTCGTGTTCCATACATACATTTATGTTTGAATCTGTAGAGCAGAGTGAACTGTACTTTTTTCTGCGTCTGAAACAGTTCATCGATGATCAGTGAACATAAACCAAATGCGTTGATATTTACAGTGGATTAGGTCTACTAAAAATTACACAGTGTGTTTTCTTTCTTTTAACAGTCACTCACTCACTTTTCCCTGCGGCTCCCTGCTAAAGGATGCATGGATGGCTGTTGGACAGGCAGGTTTTCTTCACTGGATGTTTGTTTATTTTATTCATTTATGTGACATGAGAACCATCATTCTGCAATGCTGAGCGTTACTGCCTAGAATTACATCTGCAGATCTGGCTTCAGTCACTTAGGGAATCTGGTATCTGGCTTGCTGTCATTGTTGGCAGTCTTGCTTTCTGAGCTTTAGAAACTTCAGTGTCATCTCCGGGAAAGAAACCGAACATAATACAACAGAGGGATGTATTTCCCCCCCCAGTGCTTGCAAGTGACAAATGATGGAAAATATAAAGATCCACACACAAATGACTTTCTTTCCCTCGGCAGACCTTCACAGCTCTGTGGAAATAGTTTAGCTACCAGTCAGTCCTTTCCAATTTACCTCTAGCTATTCAAATTATTGCTTTATCAGACCTATGCAGTTAGCGAGCATTGTGTTAACCCCATGAAACCCTTTGATCAGTCATTAAATCACAAATACATAAATTAAAGTGTGTGTTACTCTACTACACTCAATTATATATAAAGGTTCATTTTTTTTCAGTACTACACTGCCGAGAAGTCACAATACATATTGTGGGAATGACATTCATCTCATAGTATTGTAGATGGAAAGTTTCCGTCATTTTACATTAGTAGCTCTGTTTGTTCATATGTTTTCTCACCATGAAAAATAATCACTGGTGTAGTGGTCTTAAAGGGATAGTTCAGATTTCTTCTATGGAGTTCTGTGCAGAGGTTATGAGCAGTCAATGTCTTACCTGCAGCAGACACCTCTATACATAAACTGTTACATTGTAGTTGTTTTTCCACTGCTCTACTTTTTTTTATTTTTATCATCAAACAGTTACTCTTCAAGGTTGTACAACATGAAGTACTTGGCTAAACAAGTTTTACATTACTTGTACTTGACTAGGTGCATCAGTGTAAATAACTATATACCTCTACAATATGGAAATAAATGCCAGCATGAGTGTCATCTGTAGCTCCCTGCTAGCTTTCCCATGGAG